GGTATAAGATGCGCTCAAACGAATGTAGTATAGTCTGCTAGCGTATACACTGTGACACACACGGTCGTAGCGCGTGGGGCCCACGCGCAAAGTGTTTCGTGTGTACTCATACTGATTTTGAATGAGAGACATGCATGAGATGCACAGGCATCTCAGGTATTCTACGTGCCTATCATGGGGTTGGTCTTTTTCACTGTGCTTACTAAGGTATACTTAATCTATTAGAATACACATTACTGTAAATTCAAGGGCTGTCCTATGATAAAATATTACGTAAAAAAAATTTTTTATATATTTATATGGCAGAAAAATCCTAATAATTTGATATAATCAAGACTCAATAATAGACAATTCTTTGGATATAAATACGTAGTTCCAACTTCTACTGATATTAACCGATGTGATTGCCATCATAGTACATAATTAGTTAAATCCATCTTTTTAACACATAGTGGTAACAAAAAATGATTTTTGTATTTACCTAAAGTCATTTTAAAAAATTTTACAAAAACTATGAGGAATATTTCTATTGGCATTGTCATACTGTTTAATCTTTTCGCGCTGGTACAGGTGTTTATTAATTTACCTTTTGCCGTATAACCTTCAAAATTGTAACGTATACTGATGTTTCGGTGATTGTCTCCGCTCTCTCTCTCTCTCTATATATATATACATATATTGCACTCAGCGCAGGGTGTTGACAAACAAAGTTGGGCACAATTCACATGTAGTACACTTGAACAAAATATTGGTAATTAATGATGAACAATCGCCACATTAATTTAGTACTCATTAAAGAAATAACTATTACCTTGGTTATTCATCATTTTACACATAAAATCACACGAGCATCACACATGTCACATCAGTATATCAGCTGTAATGAATGCGTATTGCAGACCGCGTATGTTATGTATAGGTATGCCTATAGCTCCCACTCGAATTCAGCGTGCGTACACGCGAAACACTTGGCGCGTGGGCTCCACGCACTACGACCGTGTGTGTCATAGTGTATACGCTAGCAGACCACACTATATTACTTTGAGCGCATCTCATACGATCTATACTTGAAATCCAAGCATTGCACACGTGCATCGATAGTCATACTAACGCATTATAGATTCTCATGCTACAGCTGCTTGATTTTTTTTTCAGTGCACCTACCCGTCGGTTTCCATTGAGTAATGCCAATAAAAAATAAATTATACGTGTTGTAATAGTATAATATTGAATTTATGCTCGCATTAGTATTTTATTGGCATTAGCCAAGAGTAGTTTTTTAAATCTTATTATTACAGTGTGAAATTTAAAAAAATAAATGTATTTATAAAAATATAGAAAAATTATCAACAAAAATGAGTATTATGAAAATATATACCTGAAAAAAAAAAAA